CGAAATCACCTATGTATTTGTCACCACTGATCCATGTTTTTGTACCTCTACCATGCTGTTTGTCATGTTTTAAATCTCCTTCGTACGTGGTGCCATCGGGCCACATGTATGTGCCTTGGCCAGTTTTGATGCCATTAATAAAATCACCTATGTATTTTCCGCCGTCGGACCATGTATAATTGCCTTTGCCAGTCATGGTGTCATTAACCCAATCGCCTATGTATTTATCACCTGCCCCCTGGGTCTGTGATCCCCACGTCTGTGTGCCATGACCGTGCTTTTTGCCATTAACCCAATCACCTATGTATTTATTACCATTAGACCACGTGTATGTTCGTTCACCAGTGTGGGTATCATTAACAAAGTCACTTATGAATTTTTCACGATTGATCAATATTTTTGCACCATGGCCGTGTTGTTTGCCATCTTTAACATCTCCTAAGTGTTTATCGCCATGGGCCGATCTGTATTTTTGATGTTCATGCGTGGTGCGGTGTTTAAGTTGTCCCTCGTGCTGGCCATCGTTCGAGAGAATAACGGTTTGATCTGTTATAAAATAGAAAGACCAATAGAGAAGACATGATTCGTTTTAAATATGGAACTCAACAAGTCTGTTTCAGAAAGGAGAAAAACTGATCAACTTTAGCAGTTATATCGAATGTTTGCGTTTTATGTTTGATCGGAGATGTTTTGAATAGCTGCAGTCTAAAATTTTACACTGGCTTTACTAATGTATTGCGTGAACTGATTCGATTCAAGAGCAAATTGATGAATATAAACAATTCACGAGATTCCATAGTAAACAATATGAGAAAAATGTGTGATTTTACTGTTTTTTATGAGTTTATATATATATACGAGTTTTTCTGCTGCTTTATTTTACATGAGTCATACTGATATATATTCCCTTATTACAAAGTGTTTCGGTTGGGAAATACTAACGATATTTAATATGATAAGAAAGAGACATATGCCATAACGTGGGAGGATATTTCCTTATTCTCTTATCTTCTTCCTTCTGACGAGAGGATGTACTTCCTATTAGTTTTCTATATAGATTCTTGTCTTGATAAGAAGGTTAAATTGATATATTACATGATTAAATTGTCTTCTTTTATTGCATTTTAATTTTATTTGATATTAATAATTATTTAAAAATTCGTGACGTTTCGTATCTTCATTAGGTACTTCTGCAGACATTGAACCTAAGACAAACTCTTTAACATATACAAGTAGAATAGCTTTTTTTTTCTTTTATTTCGTTATTAGTCATTGATAGTGATACGGAAATAGATTATATACCTATCTAGCTATTACTATTACGGTCTAGTTTTTCGTATAACTATCAATGACTAATAACGAAAGAAAAGAAAGAAAAAAGCTATTTTACTTGTGTATGATAAAATGTTTGTCATAATTTTAATGTCTAAAGAAATATCTCATCGAAATACGAAACAGCATGAACTTTTAATTAATTACTAATATCAAATACAATTAAAATAAAATAAAAGAAGAGAACAGAATTTAATCATGTCAAATATTTTCTATGTAGACATCAAATATTAAAACGTCATCGGAAACTATTGGCTCAACACTGTCTTTCTGTAATTTTCAAAAGTAATAGTAACATTGTGGAGAAATCCTCGGGAGAACGAACAAATACACTTTAGACGACAATTTATCAACGAGAGAATGAAAGCGAATATCGTTCTATCACATTATGTTTTTTGTACTAATATGAACATTTTTATTAGATTGTAGATATTATTTAGAGCACATGTTCTAATGATATCTAACAAGATGGCTAAATTTTTTATGATATTGTTTTTTGTAAACAGGAAGCAGTGTACATTATTAGATTAAAATCTATTCATAATCACTTAAACTGAATGAGATTGAACAGTACCTCATGATATAATACGTGAACGTCTTTGATACCGAAACTGTAACGCTCAAATTTATAACCTTGAAGTAAATTATCTGGATTCTTTTTGATTATAAAAATCTCGTTCGTTAGAACAGATCAAGAGGTTGAATTAGTATTCATGAGCTTTATTTGTGTATGATCATATAAAAGAGTGGTAGGGTGAGCGTGAGTGTGACAAGTCACAACGACATATCTTTTGACCTTGCTAAAAGGCCTTTTGAAATGACTTCAATTGATTCTTTGAACAGGGGATTCATTGAAAGCGATATAGAGATGTGAGAACCAACTGATAAGATCTGTAGTAAACTCGAAACGCGTCTTGACAGCTGTTCACATCCACACCCTGGGTCTATCCTCTTTGTACATAATATAGTACGGACACGAAAGCGCAGATGTAGAGTGAGAAAGCACAAATTGATGATAGAATATGTTGTGTCTCTCCTTAAAAGATATGGTGAAAAAGTTGAACTTGAAATTTCATAAGCGTCATCTGATGGTTGGTAGGTGAAGATCAGCCGTTTTTAAGTGAACGTCCTCAACTGGTGCTACCTGTGATTATATTCTTTCAGTAGAGGATCAGCGATGCTTGTATCACGCTATTTGTTTTGTAAACGAGAGATCTGAATCCTGCTGGTACTGTCACTAATCTCTTCAACAAGATAAAATTAGGGTGTGAGGTGGGTGGGTGTGGGGTGTTGGTATCTCTTCTTATTATCCATCCTCACCCCGTTTATTCTTATACTCGCAAGATGAGTGCAGCTCATTTGAATACCATGTTGTTAGTCGAAAGACATTTCGTCGGAAGATAACTATACTATTCTTAATTTCTCACGAGCGAGACAAAAGTGAATAGTCGAATAGTTGTTCAGTACATGCCATAAATAATGATCATTCATATTCAATCGTCATTTGATATTGTCTATTTCAATTGGAAGCTGTTATTTTTCAATTTGTACTTTACGTTATATTATAAAGCACCGATAATTTATTACTCATTCTTTAGTGCATTAATATTATTTACTAAATATGACTATTCATGTTCTTACATTCTCAAAAACGTCAAAATGACACCATTTCTAAATATATGAGGGTTAGATGTATACTTTGAATAAAGATAAAGAACATGTCAAATATTGGCGCTGCAAATAACGATCATGTTCTGCTGTCATTCATAATGATAAAAATGATCATTTAAAGTATTGTAGTCAGTGTTAACACCTCTTCTGCTTTTTAGATTTTTTTTTGTCTTTTATATATATCTTCAATGAAAACTATCGATATTTTAACCGATCGTTTTGTCAAAATAATCATTTAACACGAAGTTAGATTGTAAGATCCAATCCACTCTGGGTGTTATTATTTTCTCTTACTCTATCGTCAAATTTCAAAAAAACTTCTATGTTCTTTATTTCCATTACCTTGCAGTAATGCTTACGTTGAATCCAGATTTTCATAAAAGAAATATTTAGTAAATGAAACGCGGAACTGTATGACAACAGAATTAGTGGCAACTGAATTAGAAATACGTTTGAATGCTACTTTAAAATGTGCTGATATGTACAAATATATATTATCGAACCAGAATATATTGAACGCTATTAAGTGAAATGAAAAATATACGTTTTAAAAAAAATGTTCATTAAATGTATGTATCTATGTTTAATTTTGTTGTTTTGATTTTGTGCACTAGGATATACAATATAATATTAAACTTTCTTATTATTTTATTACAGCTGAGCTCAAAACATAGTTGAATATTAAAAAAACACTTTCTGCTTTTCGAAGGGCAAACGGTGATAACACTGAATCAAACACAAAGTATCGAAATATAGCGAAAGTGGAATTACGATAGAGATTCTCATTTGCGGTTTTGTTAGTTCAGATCTTCGCTGCAATGAATACTGTCGGTTCGGATGTATATTTACGATAACTACACTTTGGCATTTTAATGGTACTTTCTGCTCTGTTTCGATGCTTTTTGCATTTGTAGTTGTGTTCTTACACTCTGAATTTACTTCAATACTGGAAGAGCTGTGACGTTCGAATTATATCTCTATTAGTTCAATAAGAATAGTAAACTCTCAGTTCCGCGAATGCTTTGTAAGAGTACGGAAATATGTTCGGAGTACGATCCAGAATACCGAAGTGCGGAAGTATCGTTTCCCCTTAGGGCAATAACATATTTTTTTCTATATTAGTTTCGCTTCCTGTTTTAGGTACTGAACGCTGTGAAGCATAGGTCACGACGGAAAACAATTTGAATTTTAGTGTGCTCGAAAGTATAGAGATTTCATCACCATTTGCTGTTTATGATCCTTCGTTTCAAATTCGGAATTGGGTCTTGCGTTGCTCAAATAGTCTGATACTTAGATGCAATAAAAAAAATTGGTTTCGTACGAAACAAAAGAAGTTTTAGATTTTTACCCGAATGGAAAACCTTTGTTTGGTGTTGTAACAATCTCCAAAATCAGAAATAGTTCTGCAAAAATGGCGCGAAATCTAACAAAGATGTCCAAGAAACAGACGAAACTTTTGAAAAGGGTTCCGGGTGTGTACCTAGCTGACGAACCGTTTTTTTTCGTGGATCCAAGGAACCTTGCTATAAGTTCGTAGGGATCCATTTTTTAGAGAGTGCCAGATATAAATTCCAGCGTTTGTGCATTTCATACGAAGAATCAGAATGGAGTACAATACCAAACCGATCTGCATTTTTTCACCAAATTGTTGCACATTCTAGGACACGTTTCAGAAACTTCGGTTTTTTGAATAACTAAGAGCAATACATCGATGGATATCATAGAGTATAAGCGGAGATAACAGTTCGACGCGGGTCCATTTTACTAATCTAGACGATGATCAATATTTTTAAGACAGTGAAGCGACTGTATAATATGCACGCATTCTCGCTAGTACTTTATAATATACTATCATTTCCAACAATAAGCCTTCCGTTGCCAATATGTAGAACATAAAAGTTTCGAAACGACTTACAAATTTTCGTTTCCTAAGCTAGAAAATGTTCCATCGAACTATTTAAAGATTGACTATTTTCGAAAAATAGACTTTTATGACGCGACTACTTTTGTACAACGATCCGATGGAATAAATCTTCAATACGCGGTCGACCGAACATAAAGTAACATATCTGACGCACAAGACAAGAACAAGATATCTTAAATTACGCGGTGGAGAAAGTAGTGTACCACACAGAGCTCGATCAACATAAAGTCTATAATGTATTATAAAGAAGAAGAAAATGTATAACAAATCCATGACTGTCAGAAAATAGTCCCACAAACGGGAATCGCGCAAATCAACTGGGTCTAACAAGTTACACATAATTTTCCGTGAGTTAATGTCTACTGATAATGACTCTGATAAAAATGTCTACAGATGCTCAGATTTACTCTTGTCACTTTAAACATACTTGTAAAAGTCAACTGAGCAGGTCCATACACTCGAACGTTGACTGATCCTGTTCGTGAAGTATTATGTGTTGTAACAACCAGAATCACTAACTGAGATGCCGTCAGAGTCACTGTGAGCTGGAAGTTGTTCTCTGGACCACTGTTATCGTCGCATGCGATTATGTTTGACATTGGTTGAGTTAAATGGAATGGCTCACGATAGAGACAAGCATAGTTGTCGATAACACTATCGCCCACAAATGTATAAGTGCCACCGGTTGAAATATTTACTCGAAAGGCCATAAAATAGTAGTTGTCTGTCGTACCATTCGGGCGGGTAAATCTGGAACTACTTGTAGTCAAGTTGTTTGAGTATGTTGACGTGATATTGAACACAATCGCTATCAAAGAAAGAGAACATGTTTATGTTATTGTGTTCGCATGTAATTCGAAACGATTATTCCACAACTCGATTTTTTCTGTCGAAACACCTCGAGCCCAATGGATATTCAGAGATCTAGTTTCGACCTACTATTATTCTCACGATCATACTTGGTTTTGAAGAGCGAAACGACTATGGAGGACAGACAGAAGTGTTTCAGACCGAGATAACCTGCACAATCAATCAACTACTACGCAGAGGGTTACATTTATCATCTGATCGAACGCTGTTTATTGTATCTGAGGATACGTCACACACTGGAAAGATTTATCATTCTTGTGCTATCTTTCAATGTGTACAGTATTTGAAATTTTTCTACAAATCTAATAACTCACTACATAAAAATCTGAACTTCCGCGAATCGATATAATTTGAAACACGGTAATATGGATTCAAGATTGTGTCCAGCAGAAATAAAAATCAAGTGATGTAGACCGAAGAATTCGACACTTTTCCTGCACGTTGTGGTTGTTCTGATTGCGGTGTGAAAAGTTGTTTTGTATCAATTCAGTGGGATGCCTCTCTGAGTAAATGCCATATATACAAGTTTTTGTAATTGGGCTAGATAGCAAAGTATTTTTTCTGAAGTCTATTGTTCTCAGGTCATAGCATTATTCATACATGCAACTTTCAGCGAACTAAATGTCTTTCGATTACACTGGATTCATTGGAATTTTGATAGAACCGAAATTTTCTGTTACAAAATGAAAATGTACCTCTGAATATCACCTGCGCAGGTCCATACACTTGAACGTTGAATGACCCCGTTTGTGAAGTATTATGTGTTGTAACAACCAGAATCACTGGCTGAGATGCCGTCACAGTCACTGCGAGCTGGAAGTTGTTCTCTGGACCACTGTTATCGTCGCATGCGATTATGTTTGACATTGGTTGAGTTAAATGGAATGGCTCACGATAGAGACAAGCATAATTGTCGATAACACTATCGCCCACAAATGTATAAGTGCCACCGGTTGAAATATTTACTCGAATGGCCATGAAATGGAATCCAGATTCTTGATTATTTGGTCGAGTAAACGACAGGCTGTTGGCGGTTAAGCTACCTGAACAGGTTGACTTGATATTGGACACAGTCACTATCAAAGAAAGAGAACATGTTTGTATTACTGTGCTAGCATATGATTCGTAGTGATTATTTCATGATTCTTTGAATGAATTCAATCATGAGATCCTGACCTAGAGACTTTACTTCAGACTTGGAGTCGATCCAGTTTTTTCGATCCGGACCGATCGGTCTACATTTGTAACTGGACCAGTAAACACCGTTCATTCTTACCGTATAATGTAACGGGTAAAAATTAATATATACAAACTCAATTAATGCTGTATAAGTTCAATATGCTTATCATTGTGGAAAAAAACGAAATTCTTGGGCAGACATGACTGAATAGCATTCAGTATATTG